AAAGTGGCTTATGTGAGTCCTATCTTCAAGAAGGGCGATAGGCACTCCACGAACAACTATAGACCGGTGAGCCTGACCAGCATAATATGTAAAGTACTTGAGAGTATTATCAGAGATGCAGCGATGGAACATCTACTACGAAACAACCTTGTAAAAGATTGCCAACACGGTTTTATGCCGGGGCGCTCTTGCTTGACACAATTGCTCAAGGTATTGGATATTTGGACCCATATTCTAGAACGGGGTGGTAATATCGACAATATTTACCTAGATTTTGCCAAGGCTTTCGACAGTGTACCCCACGAAAGGCTGAAAATCAAACTGGAAGGGTACGGAATTCGGGGAAATGTCCTAGCGTGGATAGAAGACTTTCTACATGACCGCAAGCAATGTGTGGTGATTAATGGCACGAAATCGTCATCTGTACCTGTAACAAGTGGGGTACCGCAGGGTAGTGTATTGGGCCCGCTGTTGTTTGTTTGTTTCATAAATGATATGCCTGACGTTGTACACTCCTCCATACAAATGTTTGCCGATGACGCCAAGTTATTTCGGGAAATTAAGAACCAAGCGGACTGTGAAGAGCTGCAGAAGGACCTCTGTGGGCTCCAGGAATGGTCGAAGGAATGGCTGCTGAGATTCAATGTCACGAAGTGTAAGAGGATGCACCTGGGGCGTACCAACGGTAAGGAGGCGTACCATATGTCCCAACGGGATGAAGAAAATGTACTAGTTGAGACTGTGTGTGAGAAGGACCTAGGTGTGTATGTTGACAATGAGCTGAAGTTCTCGGGCCATTGTGAGAAGAAGGTAAATCAGGCAAATAAATTATTGGGTCTTATAAGAAGGTCGTTCAGATATCTAGACGGTCCGTCCCTCGTGACGATCTTCAGGAGTGAAGTGCTTCCCCATCTGGAGTACTGTCACCCCATCTGGTCCCCGAGATATGCTAGGGACTGTCAGTTGGTTGAAAATGTTCAAAGGAGGGCCACCAAACTGGTGCCTGCACTTCGGCATCTCAGCTACCCTGAGAGATTGGAGCGCCTGAACTTGCCTAGCTTATACTACAGACGGGCAAGGGGGGACCTAGTTGAGGTTTATAAGCATCTCAGGGGGCACTACTCAGTTGAGTGTCCTTACTTGGAGCTGGCGGACGCTCGCCCCACAAGGGGTCACAGCTCAAGATTGAAGAAGCCGCAAGTCCGGAAAACCGTGAGGGCAAACTTTTTCGGAGTGAGGGTTGTAAACTCTTGGAACAATCTACCAGAAAGTGTTGTGACGGCACCGAGTGTGAGCTCTTTCAAGAGAAGACTTGACCAACACTGGAGCGGGTTCAGGTACATTCAGGAGCCGGTGCATGCCCAGTATTTGCCAACAGTGCGTGACAGAGACGTGACCGATCGCCCGGGCGGCTAGCGAGCCGACCTTTTGGTGAAGAATATAAAGGAAAAGAGTCGTGACCGATCGCCCAAGCGGCTAACAAGCCGATCAGTGGCGAAGAGGATAAAAGTAAAAGTAAAAGATATGGCTACAAGATCTGAAAGGTCTAGTAGAGTCCCAATAAAATACAGAGACTACTGCTCCAACAACATGTTCCTTTTTTAAAACAACTTAATAAATGCCTCCGACATCCATAACGTGAACTGCTGCAACTTCTCTTGCATCTTCAATGATGCTTTGATAAATGCTTCCCCTCAAGACTAAGTCAGTGAAAACTGTATCCATTTCCAAACCCTACATCACAAGCGAAATCAAGGCAATGATGAAAGAAAAACACAAACTTATAGAAGTATCTGAAATAGAGTAACTCAAGCAGTTAGAAATGCCAGACGTAGCTATTATACAAATAAGCTCCAGTCAGCATCAGGCGATAGTAAGAAAACCTGGAATGTCATAAATTCTATTCAGAACAGGAACTCTTAGCCCCCCCCCCGCCACTCAGCTTTTATGATAAATGATTCAGTTGTGACAGAACCCTCCCTCATTAACAACTAATTAAATTACTATTTTATTAATGTTGGCAAAAATCTTGCAGAGAGCATCCCTGATCACCCTGAGGAATTTAGAGCCTACCTGCAAAAAACAAAAAAACAGCAAAATGACTGTTCTTTTCCCCTGTCACAGCATATGAATTATTGATCATCATAAGAATGTCCAAAGATGCAGCAGCAGGCGAAGACAATATACCAATGAGCATCAATAAGAAAGTAGCCCACTTATCACTATCTTATTACTACCTCCTACACTAGTGGTGTCTTTCCGGATAAACTGAAAATTGCTAAAGTTCACCCGGCATATAAAAAATTTGGGTACAAAGGTCTTTTCAAGATTTACCGCCCCATATCAGTCCTCCCAGCCTTAATTAAGATACTGGAGAAGCTAGCATGCAGTAGACTAAATTCCTTCTGAAATGTCAATAACATCCTTTTAGACTCTCAGTTTGGATTTAGAGCTAGAAAGTCGACTGAGAGTGCTCTGCTATCCTTTACTAATGACATCTTAAATTCCTTTGATGACAGTCAGTTCGCTCTCGGTATATTCTTGGACCTCTCTCAAGCCTTTGATACTGTTGATCATACCATCCTCCTGTCAAAGCTTGAACATTACGGCGTTAGGGGCCTGTCCCACAATTGGTTTACCTCATATCTGTCCAACAGGATGCAAGTATGTCTGCTATAATAATCATCAATCTGACTCCGCACCAATTTTGTATGGCAGCCCTCAAGGTTCCATTCTCGGTCCAGTACTGTTTTTGTTGTACATAAACGATATAGTCCACGCCAGCACACTCATAAAATACAACTTATTTGCAGACGATAGTAATCTCTATGCCAGCAACTCAGACCTCCATTCCTTGATGAGAACTATGAACACTGAATTGACTAAAGTCAGCGCCTGGGTGATACGTAATAAACTGACCTTAAAAGTCGAAAAAACCCGCTACACGATCTTTCGCAGAAGGAAAAACTTACCCCTACATTTGGACCCCCTGTACCTTGGTAATACAGTCCTCACACGCGAAAAAATAATAAATTCCTTGGGGCTATTGTTGATGAGAAACTTAATTGGAGAAACCACATACAAGCCAGTCACAAAAAGGTCAATAAACAGTGCGGTATCATGTATCACACTCAACAGTCATTCACTCTTACAGCAATTAAAGAAATCAATTATGATCTTGTTTTCCAACAACTGATACACTGTTACACATTTAAGGGGGCCACTGGCTCTTCAAAAACACAATCCCTGGTTACTGCACAAAAGAGAAAATGTGAAAATGTTAAAATTCGAGGATATTAACACCTACTGTTGTGCCCTATTTGTTTAAAAATCTGTCGATCACGTGCTTGACAACAATTATTTCCAGTTCCGGAATCATCAGAGATACAACTTAAGACACCCAGAGCTACTAAGACCACCCCCCATGCCCCCCTCTCAGTCCCAGACTTCCACAAAATATCAGGTGTGAAGGTGTGGAACAACTTACCCCCACCCATCCGAGCATAGACTGAACTCTCTTCCTTTAAATTTTCTCTTTAAAAATATCTGTTGTCTAAGTATTAATATTTTTTGTAATACCTACTTTATATACCTGCTTTTATTTTACCACCAAAACCGTTGTATCAGAAATTAGCTTGTAGATATATAGATATTACCATTGCAATAAATATATTTACCAATTAGACATAATCCTGACAGCTTTGTCATCTTGTTCCACCTTAATACAACCCACGTGTACTGCTTCTCTCCATTATCATATTTACGTTTTTTTTCAATTCCACTGTAAATTATGTATATACTTATATTATAGATGTACAAAAAAATAAATAGAATAAAAATAAATAAATATCGAAATGATTACCGCGGTAACATTCTGATATGTTGTTATTACTACCATGATAGGTGTACTCTTCCAGATGATACTAAATGCTACATAACACCGCCTTGAGATAAATGTACAGCATATATCAGGTGCCCCTCATACACCATCTGTGGGGGAATTACTACATCATCAGGCCCCCTCATAACACCACCTGTCAGGGAATTACTACACCATGTCACGCCCCTCATAACACCACCTGTGAGGGAACTACTACTCCACGTGATGACCCTCATAACGCCATCTGTGAAGGAGTTACTACACTACGTGCCTGCTGTTCAACACCTCAGTGCACATGACCTACGTGACCTCCACTGTAAACATTAATCTGTATGTCCACTGTATGTTCCTTTACCTTTCTCTAATGAAGGCTTTTGTTAAACCACCAATGTCAATGTATGTAATAAGTCAATGATGTCCAATGTATATTTTCAGTCTTAGGGTTGCAGAACTTTATCAGAACTTTTTCAATAAACCGTTAATTATAATTATTATTATTATTTAGAAGAGAGCTCGGGCTCTCAACTGGCTCAGCCATGTTAATATTATGATTTTTAATCGACTCTGTATCTTTGTTCTTCTGGATAAATAAACTGTTTAAATATCAATATTAATATCAATTCGCTGAACATCAACATAATCAAAATAATGAAATGATCATAACTTGGAAACTAGATAGGGTACAGTGGCAAACTTGGTACCAATTCAGACTGAGGGTCTTTCTTTGACTGGTTGGGGGATGTTCGACATGTTGAAAGAACTGCTTCATTGTGATGGGAGGTACAATGGGAAAATGAAATATCTTCCCAGCTTTGGTCGAAGTATAATGAAACCTGACCATTCAACACAGTGAATGGTGTCACTGGGGACCCCTATTTAAGGTTTCAAAATCCCGGGAAGATATTTCATGCTCGCACAGTACATACATCAGTGGGGGTGGCATGTAAGACTCCTTCATCAATATAAGGTTTTTAAAAAGTGCACATTTAGTGTGTGTAGTCTGGTGGCCACGACGTTTGAGCATTGCGAGGAATTATGACTGAGGTGGTGGATACGCTGGCCTGGAGACCATTCTGGAAATCAAATGACAAGGCATATCCCTTTGTTTCATATTTGGTAGAATCAAAAGGTGTTCTGATGGGAAAGCAACACAGCGACTCGCATGCTAACACGTTCGCCGAGGTTCTGATGTCTCAGAGTTTTCTAAGAGTTGTGCCGTTTCTGGAAGTTTTTCAGATGATCATGAATCACATGAAAAATATCACTGCGGCAGACCGTAAGACCAACTAAGTACTGCACGTACAGTACCTGTTGTCGACTCTGGCAAGTGTATATTCCGAGAATTTGATGTCATCAACTACATCCGATATAGGTGATAGTATTTCAAGAGAATCAAAGTACTTGATGAGGAGAATGAAAGGTGTGGCAGCTTTAGTGCCACGGAACAGTCAATCCAGACGCCTAACTCAGAGATAGTTGAAAAATGGCAATTACTCTTGGCATATCCAATTAGTTTAGTTCTCTCACAAATGACCAGCTCATGGACCATATTGAGACAGCAATGCACCATAAACTGAGGAGAAGAAAAGGGAAGCTACAGTATATGATTGCAATACTAATCAGCTACTTGATTATGTGCAAACTTGCGATAATTATCTGTTCCTCATTTTTATACCGGTGTCACCAAGCATACCATCAATGATGCGACAATTACTGTATATCAGTTACTTAGAGTCAGGTAAAATGGTAAGAAGGAGTACCAAAACTTTTTATTCCAGGACCAAGAAGTTTAGCGTTACCAAACAGAACCTTCCGTGATTCGATACCATCAGTGTCCTTGATAAAAATCTCTCAGCCCCTGGCCCATCGAGACCACCATCTCTACCAAAGATGTTGTTTCTGCTCAGCGTGACATTGGAATCACAAAGAAGCGTGGAATGTTCCTCAATGACATTTTCATCAATGGTCGTCTCCCCAACAGCCTCTTGTTTGATGGCAATTTACCCAGAAACCCCGAAAAAAAAGCTTCCTGATATCAGAGTTAGAGAATTATCTCCATAAGAGAGACTAAGCATTCCAGAGGAATTCACTAGATTTTATGTCAAAAATTCTTCAAAGCCCAGATTTACTCTCACTAATTTTGGTGAGGCCATAAAATCTGTGCTATCTGCTGCACGTGGTGATTGTCCAGTGGAAGAAACTCACATCATCTTTGATAGCTGCAACGAGCTGTCGATAAAAAAAAAAGTGCGAGTGTAGTCATCGGGCTGGCACAAGTTGAACCCGTGTTGGACGAAATTATCCCATTACCTTAATACATTGAGAAATTCTGGACCTCGTCTTACAACAAATTAAACCTGAAGCTTCTTGAAATTGATATTGTCATATTTGATGTCAAGGATACCGCATTGGTACTGAGTGGCCTACTCATAAGCGATTAGGCCCTTCCATTACGCCTCCAAGAGCAGTCTGGAGTCCATACTGTCGACCTGGCAGAACTCAGCGACTGGTTAGAGGAAATGGATATTCACATCCTTCCACACACTAAATGGACTATTGAGAGGCGGTTACAGCGTTATCGTAGTAGTATCAATCGATCCTGATACTGTAGTGTCAATTTTCTGCTGCGCTATGCTCATTACTTTATGAACATGGGTGGGTGAAAAGCGACAGGTTATACCTTTACACATCCTGTCTGAGAATTAGGTGTCGCACTCTGCCAAGTGCTTGTTAAAAGCACATGTTTCAACCAGTGGTGAAGCGCTTAATAAGATATGTATGAAGGATGGTGCCATGGTAGGCAACCTCTGGTTTATTTAGACTACCTTGAGTCATCCGACCCCAGCTTGCACGATATCCAGATGGTAGAGCTTTACCTTGTTCAAAACATGGTTAGGCTCAAGGTCCAAACCACTGGTCTCGACGTTTGAGGAGTTGTGAATTGAGTTTCATACTCGAAGTTTCGCTGTCAAAGTGCCTTCTTCGTTAAATGTGATCTGAGGGCATTTTAGGCCATACTTTGTGATACATGGTGCGGTCACCTGAAATTTGGATGAGATAATAAGGAGGGTTCTCTGATGCCTTCTAAGTGCCTGAAACTATTACCCGCGTAACTTCTGAGAACATGCAAATGCAGTGGTAAGTGTGACACCAAGTGCTGTGACTGCAAGTCTGATGGCGCCCAATGTGTAATTTTTGCTAAAAGAAGCAAAACCACTTCTAAGGCAGTTAACCTTTTACTACTTCATAACTTTCCTTGTTAGTATGAAGTCTGAGTGAATCGAGCACTACTAGAATTTGTACACCGCCGGGATACCAGAGCATCGTGTCCACGACGGCAGTTCTTGCATTTGGCCCTTAGCACTAAAGGAAAACCAATTTACTTGAAAGTTAGACTGGAGATTAGTTAAAATTATTAAGAATATTAGATATATAATTATCATGACTACTTTATATTATCCAAAGGCCGAAGTATTCTAAGATATAAAACTATTCAAACCTATATCTTAAGAGTTAAGTTTTCTTTATGTATGTACGAGCGAAAATTTGTGTCTCTCTGTTCCAAGATATATTCCAAACTACTCAATATATGATAATCATTTACACACAATTATGAAAAAAAAGGTTAGCTGTAATAATGCATTAATAATTCACGATATCAATAAAAGGAAATCTTACGAAGTTAAAATACATCATAAACTGCAACCAATATAGACACTGGCAGAATAATCACACACTACTAAATTCGCAATAATACAAAACAACAAACCTGAGGTAACCAGATGGAACCAGAATGGGACTTGGGCTTCGACAACTCTTCTATCACCCCCTGACCCACCCTGGTGTGGCCAGTGATCCTCAAGAACCACATATCGGATTAATTAAATGGACACTATTAAAATCATTCTGCACAAGAGTATTAATAGCTACCAGAGGACTGTGAACGGGGAATAAGTAGACACTATCAAAGTATAGATAGTACTAATAACTTTATTAGTTATAACAAGACTAAAATCTCTTGGGCATAAAAGATCATTTAAGTTGTAAACGTATTTTGCCATTTTAAAACACAACTTGACCTCGCTTAAGTATTTTTCACTACTTGACAGACACCAGTCTAAGAGGTTGAGTGACTGTCATACACTGAACCTTGACATATCGCATGAATGCACCTCATCTATGTCTGCTGTTGTATCATCACTCTCGTCAAGAGAAATTTATGAAGAAATAGATCTCTTAGACCAAATCTCAGTGAACGTCACTCAAGGATTCGAACCCATGGGCCATGGGTTCGAATCCTGGTGGGTTGAGATGTTGATTGTATGTAGAAGTCCGCGTGCTTTATTGGGCTAATGAAATATATATGGATCTTCGTGTTTCGAAGCCGGATTTGGTAAAACGTTACTCTGACCACCTACGTGATACGGGTAGTCCCCATTAGAGGTTCACGGCGCCATAAGCTAGTTGAACAGGGTTTGTGTGAAATATAATAGAGTTTAGGACTGCTTTTAGTATCCTGGTGGTCCAGAGGTAGCGTTCCCCGGTCACAGTCATGGGCTCGTGGGCTGTGGGTTCGAATCCTGGGGGGTTGATTGTATATATATATATATATATATATATATATATATATATATACTGTATATATATACAGTATGTATATATATATATATTTTTTTTTTATGTGTGTGTGTCTGTGTGTGTGTGTGTGTATGTATGTAATCGAGGTACTACTTCCTCCACTATGTGGAAAACACCTTTTAACCTAAGTTAAAATTTTCTGTGGCATCATCCTGAATCAGTGGTGAAATACTGTCAATCCAACATTAGGAACTAAAATGCTTTCAGGTATTGGATATATACTATATGTGTGTGTGAATGCATTTTTACATAATTTAATATTAATATGGTTCTTGGACTGATATTTGAAGATTTTTTCCTATTATTTAAATATGACTTGAAATTCTTTGTGTCTTTAACTAACTATTTACATAATAATTTCACACTCTTGTGCACGATCATAATGATAATGTAATTAACACAACACTGTAAAGTTAAAACGTAATGACCTGCAGATGAAAGGAAGAATGAAGCTCAATCATCCTATATATTCTTCAGAAAACCTCAAAAACTCTTAAAAAAAATCTTGATTGTATTGTAGATACGTATCAAGTTATCTCTTTTCTTAGCGTCTGTCATTTGTTGTGTCATGGCAATTTTTTTTATCACATAGTTTGGTCACGTCTGTGGTGGAAACTGAGATTTATATAATTCGTCAGTGTTCGTCTTTACCAATGGTTCAAAAACGTTCAGTGTGAAATGTATATATGTATAACATATTAATTACATACATTCAGAAAATACACTCGCTATGCAGTACAAGATTTTTGTCTTGTCAAAACACACACACACACACGCACCTGTAACCAGGTGACCTGAAGATGGTGGACACCTGCTGTCCCTATGGACTTGATCTCACTCTCCTTGACTGTATACATTAGCTTTGTCAATAATTACTCCTCAGTCTGTACTTACCCCTGAAGATGTGAATTACACGAAAGCGCTTGGGAACTTCGTGTTTTCTTGTTTAATATGTGGCTATCAGCATATACATGGATCACTCGCAGATTTATTTGCACATATATACAGGCATATATATATATATATATATATATATATATATATATATATATATATATATATATATATATATATATATATATATATATATATATATATATATATATATATATATATATATGCAGCCGGTCGGAAGTTACTGGACTTTAATTTCTCACTTGACATGGGGTTTATGAAAGATTATTAGATGCTTAATTAATGTGCCTGGCGACATATGGAAGCTGTTAATGTATCACTTGCCATACGTCGCCTATAGAGCAGTTGACCAGCAGACAGGTTGAGGAGCGCTACTCCCCTTGTGTACATATCTCTTATCCAGTAAATTGAACCTACAAAATTATACAGGTGTTTGTGTTCGCTCCTGTATATTGAACTTATTACCAAGAGCACGAACAATATAAATATGTATATATTACACAAACAGCAATTTCACTCTGAGTTTAAAATAATTCAGCTACTGATATATGGGAATTTTTTATCTCATGAGGGAAAGAAAGTCTCTAATCTTGTGGACTTACCCCAAGGAAAAATGAAACGAGAATATTTACACCGAGTAGATGATAATGATTATCTTACACAAAGGCAAAAACATGAGAGTGATGACAACCGGGAACGCTGACAGTAGGGTATATAAGCTCTCACCAACATATCTCTTCATACAGTTCGTGACAGAACTTGATACTGGCAACACCAATATGGTAAGACTTAGTATGGGCTCTATCAATGACTCGTATAACTGACGGCTCTTGTTACCTGACCAATGATACACGAGTCAAGTTCCCTCTACTTTAACCATACTTAACCAAATAGTATTATTATGCTCCGATGCAGACATATTGTAAAACATATAACGTTATTAGTCACTCAGCTTTACCTTTAAGTGGCAACCCTACAGTGCCTGCAGGTAACCATTAGTAGTACAGAAATGCTTACTGTCGTTGAGTGTTAACACTCACCATGAACACATTATGCATTAACATATGACTGAAGTGTGGTTTACTTGTATTAGTGCACGGAAAATAAGTTTGTCACTGTAGTGCATTTCTAAAGTTCACTAGAATTACGAAAGTAAAATGGTGATAATTTCCTAGACTCATAACATAAAAGATCTCATTGCTCTTCTCAACTGATGAATAATCCGTAACGAAAGAAATTTTAACCATTGGAGAGGATAATCATGTATAGTGAATAATGAGGAAACGCGGAAATATGTCAGTGCATCTGTTATGTGCTGTGTACAAAGGTGAGGTATATAATGAATTGAAGGAATGTGAAAAAATAGACATTGTAAGCAAAAAGACAGTCATTGTAACGCACTACATATACAGGAATACCTACTTGTTACACACACACACACACACTGACTCTCACTGACCATCACCACGACCTCATCTGCAAATTTGGTAAGAAGCTTCTACACCATCCCCGACACCGGCTCCTACTACCACCTGAGATCCCTTGTCCGAGAATTGCTGTTCGACACCACAACCGCATCCAGCCCATACGTGCACGAACTGATCGCTATAAGAACAGCCCAGTCCCAACCATTGTAAAAATTATCAACAACTTGTAATAAATCAGTGTACTCACTCCCAGTAAACACTGCTCCTTACACTGTCAATATGTTGAAATGAACTGTAGTTTGAGCCTTTCCCCATCTAGTTATTATATGTCTTATTTGTGTCACTTATGTTACTTGTATATTATTTGTAATTCGTAACCCATTCCCCAAACATGTAACTGTATATTTTCAGCCTTCTGGCTGCCAAGCTCTTTCAATAAACCGTTAATTATTATTATTATTATTATTATTATTACACACACACTACTACTACTACTACTTCTAGTAATACTAATGCAACTTTGCTGTCACTAGAAATCGAGTATGACGATCATCCACCTCTGATAAAATGATATGAGTTTTTAAGGATGTTACCTAGGTTGGTGAGTTTTGACGTGATTAAAGGGGCCGATACGGGACCGGCAGGGTAGATCAAAGATGTTGCACATGTGGGGGGCTACATCTAGTGCGGGAGAGGCGGCGGCAGCGTCTTTCCTTCGTTGGCACTTGTCTGCCTAGTTATGCAGTCGGGCTAACTCGTAAGTACAGGTCAGAGAGAAAAATCAACAACAATTCAAACGTGAATGATTTAAAAAAAAATATTCGTCTATACATGTATATATATATCAGCCGTTTGTAATTGCGTATACACCAGTAATTAATTACATATAAAAATCACTTAAACTAGTAATCAAACGGTACCCTCAATCGATGCAGGGATTAATATAACACCTGTCTTTAAAACTACTTCGGAGACTCAGTCTTCAGTTTAAGCCATTCTTCCCATTTCTGCCATTCCTGACTTCCTTCACTCATATTACACACTCATATCGATACCATATTCCCTAATATAATCCTAAATCAATATTGAAAGATGATGAAGGTGTCATTCGTCTATACAGCGTTGTTGATATTTATTGGATTGTAATTATTAATGGAGTTTTTGCAAAATTTCAGAGGTTGGTGATAGTATTCCTGGGCGTGACCCTCCTAGCGGTGTCTTGCCTAGCCATGCCAGGCTATGGTGAAGGTGGCGGCGGCCATGGAGGTGGCGGCGGACGTGAAGGTGGAGGCGGCCGTGGAGGAGGTGGCGACCGTGGAAGTGGCGGCGGTGGCTATGGTGGAGGGGGTGGTGGTGCAGCGAGAGGTGGGGGTGGTGGCAGCGGCGGCGGTGGTGGAACCGGCGGTTATAGTGGAGGTGGCTCTGGTGGCAGCGGAGGTGGCTTCGATGGAGGAAGCTTCGGTGGCGGTGGATATGGTGGAGGCGGTTTCAGTGGAGGCGGTTCCGGTGGAGGCGGGGGAGGTTTTGGCGGAGGAGGCTTCAGTGGAAGTGGTTATGGCGGAAGCGGACCCGGTGTTGGTGGTTCCGGAGGTGGCGGCTACGGTGGAGGTGGCTTTGGTGGAGGAGGCTTTGGTGGAGGTGTTAGAGGTGGCAATAGCGGAGGTGGTGGAGGTGGCTCCGGTGGCGGTGGATATCGAGGTTATGGGAAATAACTATAAAATTAATAAATTACATTAAACCAAGTACAAAATTATTTACATTACCAAACCTGTATAAAGTGCAGCTTACAATGAAGGTATTGTGATGATCTTTACTAGAGAAAATACCTCACTGCTATAAGGTGACATGTCATGATTCCTGCCTTGTCTTCTACAGACATGGACAAGGGAGGTCCAGTCTTGAAACAGTCTATGACAAAACTTGATAAAATTTACTTATCCTGAACGTCACGATAAATGGTAATCTATTGTACATATACTTGAACTGGCATCAATAATCTCATTTTTTACACTTGGTACAGTAATGATAGGATTTTTAACATATATGTTATAGAAGTCTTGGCATATGAACAATAATCATTACGTTAACAAGAATATGCTCAATGTATATTTCAATATATTGTAACAAAACCCTAAATGGCCAAACAAAACATTAATAAGATACTGGAACTCAATAAGTGTGGTGAGTGACTGTCGATAATGAAAAGATACGGATATGATATTATAATTATTATTATTATTATTATTATTATTATTATTATTATTATTATTATTATTATTATTATTATTTGTATTGTTATTATTATTATTATTATTATTATTATTATTATTATTATTATTATTAATATTGTTATTATTATTTGTATTGTTAATGTTATTATTATTATTATTATTATTATTATTATTATTATTATTATTATTATTATTATTATTATTATTATTATTATTATTATTATTGTTATTATTATTATTATTATCTTTTTTTTTATTATTAGTAAGAATTGAAATAGTAATGGATTTACTCTATTATTATTATCATTCCTTTTATTATATATGTGTTTAATACCCTAAAATTGTGGCGTTCAGAGCAATTAGAGTAATAATGAACAATATCAGACACAATGTTACTTTGTATTTCAGTAAATTAGTATTGGTATTTATTTTTATAATAGAGAAAATTCCATACTAAACGCAATATTATTAATAAGTAAATATATTATTGTTATTTAACATCTCTTTCCATTTGTTTTATAAATTACTTCTAAAATTCAATATGAATTATAAGAATGAAGAAAAATAAAAAGTAATAAAAAAGTTACCTCAGGAGGTCATGCTATAGATTATCAAGCTATTCAAACCTATACCAATAAAGATAACTCTTTCTAATACACTTTTGTGCATTTGTGTATTTTGTGTCTTTCTAGCAATACTAATAAATCTTCCAAAATCCAAACTTATTATTTGTCATTTATACTTCATTGGTACGGTTCTGCTTCAGAGAGTGTCGTTGTAGACACTACTAGAGTAAGGAAGGCCGGATAGACGCTCAAGGTATGGGAAAAATTGTAAAGACACTTGTGGCGTGGGGAAGAGTTGTAACTGTTCAGGCGTATCTCTCTTGCTGTTGCAGGCAAAGTACAAGTCAGGTTATCCTCTGCAGATTAGTCCAAGACATCGTACACTCCACTCTGCCTAAAATGCAATGTGGCTTCCGTAAAGATCACAGCACAAATGATATGATCTTTACCGTCCGTCAACTACAAGAAAAATGCCATAAACAGAACCTTGACCTATACATAGCTTTTATCGAATTATTGAAAGCTTTCGATACCATCAATAGAGAACTGCTCTGAACAGCTCTCTCTAAGCTTTGTGTCCCTCCATAATCTCTTAAATCCGTAAGAGCTTCTATTTGGACATGCAAACATGTGCACTTACAGGGGGCACCAAGTCCAAACCCCTTAGTGTTGAAGTCAGCGTCAAAGAGGGGTGCGTTCTGGCCCCCGTCATCTTCAATCTCAGTGTCACAGCAGTGATCCTCATCAATGAACGATGTTGACGGCGTTAAGATTCAATTCCGCTTAAACGGCAACCTGTTCAACCTCCGCCGCCTTCAGGCCATTAAGAAACGTCGACCTCTCACCTCTTGGACGACTGCTGACGACTGCGTGCTCGGTGCTCACTCCCAGAACTCTCCAACAAAGTCTCTCGATTGTCTCCGTAATATATCAAGACATCGGACTAAAAATTATTTGAAGAAAAGGCAGAGAAAATTTTTCAGCACAGATGCGCAGACCCACCACCTGCATATTACCTACCTCGGTAGCATTCTTACTCCCATGCAAAACATCGACGAAGAGATCCAGGTTCGGATCCATCTTGCAGGTGCCTCCTATGGTCGTCTGCGCACCAGAGGGCTCAGCAGTAACAGTCTCAATGTTACAACCGAGCTTTTTGTTTACCAAGCATTTCTGGCGAAGCAACACAGTTGCAATGGACGTAACACGTCATTCGCATGCCAGAGCACCGACCACCAGATCCTCTGTGGGCACCTGCTCGAGGCAAGCCCCAACTAGGAGGATAATGTAAAAGGTTGATAGACCAGCTCAGAATGGTGCTATAATAATTTATATTCCTCCAAAGAATCTTAAACTATTGCATCCAACCGTAGTCTATGAAGCTCCACCTGTACCGGAGTCGTCAAACATCTCGAGAACAAGCATGATAGGGACTGGTGTGCATGTATGGAAAGGAGACACAATCGCACGCCAAGAGACCACCCACCTAACCCGGTGCTGTCCTGCCCAATGTGTGATAGACTCTGCGGGTCAAGGATTGGACTCCACGGCGACATCCAGTGGCACCGTCAACAACATCCCTAATTCACCACTCATCATCATCATCATCATCATCATCGATTTCATAATGAAGCAGAGTCGTCTTCCGGTACGACGGACAGCCTTAAGCAAGCAAAAGGTACTGGGGATGTGGGGGAAAGTTGTAACGGTACTGGGTTTGCGGTGAGAATTCTATAGGCAATAGGGAGGGCGAGGTTGTGAAGTGGAAGGGACTTGCGGGTATTGCGGGATTAGAAGGTAGCTTATCCACATGTAGGCGGATGACATTTGGAAGAAGAGTACATTTTGTAGAAAAATTAAATATAGTACACAGGATTTTTAGACAAAATCTTCAAACTTCTGAATACGGAACGTAGAGACATGAGCATATCATTTAAGTTTTTTTTCCCAGCGCTATAAACTATAAATCGCACAAAACTTCAAACTTTAGTCAAATTTAAATAATTATATTAAAAGCAAATTTTCATTACTAAAACTTGTCAATATTTCGAGATTACTAGCCACAGATATTTTGTCAAAATACACAGTAGTTCAATACCTCTGGAGATATTTGGAAAATATTTTTTTTATTTTTTTAACGAATTAAACTATTTTTTTTTTTAATTTGGAACCTTAAGTGCTGAAGTGTTGTAGTAATTCGATCGTAACTTCGACAGTTGAATATAGAGTTATGTTCTCTTTTGGGGATTTTTCCCCAACCATCACCGAAGGTTCTAAAAATGATGATTAAGATTCTGTACACTGACTTCACTGACTTGTCTCGCACTTACACGAAGGAGTTGGTGTACAAATATAAATAGTCTATAGTCAAACATGTTTATATATTCACCACTGATCCAAGGAGTCTACACATAAACACAGGAAATATTTGGGAATTGTCACTGACTAGAGGCAAATGCTAACCTAATTTCAGGTTGTTCTGCGTTTGAGTAGTATCGCTAATTATGGACACTGCATTTATATTACCTGTAAATGAAAAAGTTTCTATATAGTTATATATATATATATATATATATATATATATATATATATATATATATATATATATATATATACACATATATATATATATATATATATATATATATATATATATATATATATATATATATATATATATATATATATATATATATATATATATATATATATATATATATATATATATATATATATATTTCTAATGATTTACAAAATATTGCTGTCGTTAATAATCACGATGAATTGCCTCAAGGTGATTTTTTTTAGATTTACCATCAAAAGAAACGAAGATATTCACACTGAGTAAATGTTGAAATGATGATGCTGCACAAATGCAAAAACACGAGTGATGACAACTAAGTGAGGGACGCTGACTCTGGGATATAAAAGCTCTCACCAACACATCTCTTCATACAGTTCGTGACAGAACTTGATACTGACATCACCAATATGGTAAGACTTAGTATAACCTCTATCACTAATGGTGTAAGTGGTGTCTCTTATTACCTCGCCATTGATACCTGAGTCAGGTGCCCTCTCCCATAACCAACTCTATTTTGATCAGGTACTGCTGAGACGTAAAATGAATTGAATGAAAATCAGTTTATCCCTGTTGTGGCTTCTCTTGTCATTATCTATCGTCGGCAATAATTATCACATGTGTTCTGTGTTCAGTAGTTGTCACCCACGATCATGAAGTTATTCATAAACACACCTGAGTGATGTGCAGTTGTGCTAGTAAACTTCCATCACTGTTCATCATTAAGGTTTATATTGGTCTTCTAAAGTGGTGTTCAGTTCGTGATACAGGAAATTAAAAAATAATGCATATTATGGATATTTAGGAAACGTGAATCTTGCGACAGTGTGTACCCCTTCTCTGCTACATTCTAGGCTTCTTTATTACTGAATAATAATATGAGCAATGGGTGTCCCTTTAATAGAAGAGACAGTTATCAGAAGAAATTATAAATGTAGGACTACTTATATGTGTTTCGCCGACATTCCAACACACGAAAGTTATAGAGAGGAATTGTCTGCAATTTAATTTGATATGACAGTTAATATGGGTGTAAAAGTATCTGCTAATCGTGTTAAATAATTCTTCAGCAACTATCGTCCGCTCTTTGTTCATACAAATACCTTGGGACGCGATAAATAAGATATTTATAACCAGTAATTAATTACATGAAAAATATGTATATATTATTAATGATTCGCTAAATTCCAGCAAAGTGTAGTAGCCTCTAACATCACGCCCGAATATACAGTATCTCCGGGGACTCAGCTTTCAATTTAATTTATTCTACTCATCTCTGGCCTTCCTAAAACTTCCTTCACTAATATTACACTCTGATATCGACACCTTATTAC